CAATTGCGGTGGCATTGGTCATAACGTACGAACCTGTCAGAATGCTACTGGAGGGTCTAAATAATCCATTTCTAATGTAATTATCGTAGTTGTTTCATTTCGTGGTGGTTAATTGAACATCTTGCGCGTGCTGTGGTGAAAAGTGGTCCACTCGCTGATATGGTCCACTCGCTGATAACGCACGTTACACATACTGGGATTCAGAATTCGAGCCTACACAACAGCTCAGGGGAGATGTCTTCTGGGAGCTGCTCTGTTAAGATAGATGTTGTAGCCTGGATTCTAGTAATGCTGAACTTGGGGGCTCATTATGGATCCTTTTCAGACAAAAGCAAGACACAAAAAAGCAGGACGCTTAATTCGGACCCCCTGTACAGCAGGCTCTGTCGCTATTATTCGGGGAAAAAGGGAGTTGGGAGAGCATGTTTGACAATGTACCGTAATAAGATCAATCAGGGCCAGCATGGCCACCTTATGACCTGTTCGGTGACGAGGTACCACGTATTGCCTGCTCCAAAGTCGCCGCTGTTTGGGCTTTTCCAGACTTGTTGTCCAAGGTGCAAAACAGAAACTTAACGGTAAAATCCTTTCAATGACAAGATCGAGTTCCGTACTGTACTGTACAGTATGTTCGGCCTAGTGACGGGGTCAATCTCTTTGTCCAGTGCCTGGCCATCTGGAAGCCTGCTGGCAGTAAGTCGACACCCGTCCGAGAGCTTCAGACCGAATGGCTCCAGCATGAAGCCCGACACGTCATCAATTTCCGCTCATAACCACCGAACAATGCGACGCGTGCAGCATGTTCCGAACATAGAGATCTAAATGCAGTGTTATCTCACCATTTAATTCGAAGCTTGAAGGGCCGTGCACTGCAAGCTCGCTACCACAGCTACGATGATGAACCTCCAAATCACCTTCATGCTAGCAACAGCGATTCTCAGCGGAGCATTCGTCGCCGCTGATCGGAGAAACAATTTAGAATTCGTTCCAGACACAGACGCAATGCTCAAGGCATTTGCAGATGAGAACGAAGCACTCGATTGGGTCTACAACCACAATTTAGAGGGAATGAACGAGGCGGTGAGCACGGGATTGTTGACTTGCGGACTGGGTTGGTCAACGAGACTGACATCAAGCAGTTTTGCACTGCTGATACTCAAACGTGTAATTACAAGCAATTTGGCGTTGGCCCGTACCATAATTCATGGAAACTTCTGAGCCAGCGTGTGCAGGCCAAGCTAAGCCAGCGTGAGGTAGATACGTTTGGTGCTGCTCTTCGCATCTATAGCAAGAAAGCTCGTGTTAACGAGTACAACTACGAGCACCTCGTCCGTCTCAAGCATCCAGCGATCCAAGTCATGGCGAAGAACGTTGGTAACGGTGCTGACAAGGCAACGTCCGAACAAGCCGGCAATCTGGCTGTTCAGTTTCCAGTATGCATTAATGCTCGTCTCATGCTAACCCAGAACATCTGGCATCCAACTGGTCTAGTCAATGGGGCCCAAGGGACAGTATATGACGTCGGTTGGGCACCAGGCGCAGACACGCATCGTGACCCGCCATCGGTCATTATGATGGTGATGGATAAGTACACCGGACCATCATATCTAACCGCGGATGATGGGCGCGAAGTAGTGCCAATTCTCCCAGTGAAGCGAGACTTCTTTCTTGGGGCGTCGGCCTGTACACGAACGCAGTTCCCACTCATGGCGTCATATGCCATTACGGTTCATAAGTCACAGAGCATCACAGTGGACAAGATGGTGACAGATCTGTCGGAACGGGATTTCCAGACAGGGCTGAGCTATGTTGCAGTCTCCAGGGTCAAGACATTGGAGGGCCTAATGATCGACGCGCCTTTTGAACGGGCCTCTCTCCACTATGAGAAGCGCTACCTGATGGCAAGTAGAGCTCCATCATGTTGTTCATGTTTGAGACCCTATAGTTCCTAACAGATTAGCAGGTGTTCTGATGAAAGTCCGCGACGAGAATCGGCGCAAACAACAACAACTTAGCCAACCACTATTCCAACCTCGTTTTTCTTGATGTCGCTACAGTGCACGGAGAGGGCCAAAACTCATCATTGTCATGCACACACCGTTCCGTGGTGCGCCAGCGCATAGCCAGAGTTAGTAGTACGAAATATCACCGTGTTATTATCACGTCACAGAGACACATCCTTCGGACTGTATTACACCCTCCCCACCATCGGTGAGGGTGTCAGCATATTTTATGTTGAACTCCCGTCCATCAGGTTCTGGCCGGCTTCCTGGGAATCGACGTACCACCGTGGCTGGGGATGTTCGAGAGCCAACGGCGAGAAGTGCAGTCGCTGTGACTCAAACTATCCATTCAACCAACCTCCTCGTTTTGGAAGTGGTCGCAGCGGCAACAAGCGGCCGCCCCCAGCAAGCACTCCCATGGTGTCTCTGACTAATGCAGCAACACTCCGTTGCCGAAGCCTGCCCACTCTCACCGAGTAAAGTCTTGTGGACAGTGGCACTTGCTGCCGCGGCCGGCGCGTGGGTCTCCCCGCACCCTATTGTCCGTTTGACGACGACGTCATCCTCTGCCGAGACGGAAAGAGATTTCAGCAGTTGCGGAAGGATGGTAACACCACTCAGGTGTCGCCTACGGCGGCATATTGTTGCCATGGCCCAGTGCCTTCGGTCATGGAGCAAGGTTGGCATATACCAGCCATCCCTTCCCTTGGGACTCCTTGAAGAGGACAATTGGAGACATGCTCTTCAGCGAGCCAGCACGAACAGTGTATACTGAGTTCATGA